TTTTGGGTAAAGAAAATTAAAATAACAAAAGTTAAGAATGATTAAAATGTTTCTGATTGTAAGATTAACAGTAATATTGTCACTTTTAACCACAAAAGTCTGGCAACATCTGTCCTGTTTGTAGAATCTCCAAAACGCACAAACCATTTGCTCCTGCTTTTGTTAGGCAATTTGCTAGCTGTTTTTGTCCCGAACACCACTGAATTTTTTTCACTTCTCCTTGAATTACTGCTTCTGTCAATGCGGCAATATCGATTCGAAGTCTCTTATCCTCCACAAGTTTTGTTGAATGCACAGATTCAATCACACTCTTATTGTCTACAAATGCATAAATCGCGATGGATTTGCTGGGAACTCCCAAAATTTCCTCCAACATGTGTCGATAATAAAAACTTGCCTCCAGTCCTTCCTGTAGACTAAGTGCCTCTGCTGCTAGGGTGGAGCGGACAACTCTTCTGATCTTTTTAGCCTGCCAGAAAAGGGGGGAGCATTTTCCATGTTTGTCCATAATCCAGATAATAACTCCTTGGGTACTTCAAATTCCATCATTAAGGTTTCCTAAAGATGCATCAGTAAATGTTATTATTTTTAGTGAGCTAAGATCTAAAACTGGAAATCTCAGGATACTTTTGAAGTCCTTAAGCCTATTAATGGTTTTTGTTGCTCTGATTAAGTCTGCCATGGTTCCACTTCTCAGCTTAGTGCTCATGTCTATCATTTCAAATGCAAGGTCTGGTCTAGACCCCTGCACTGCCCAATTGATCTGCCCTATCCTATGATTTGTCTGTATTCAGTCTGTTCTTCATCACTTAGTTGACTTTTCTTCTGACTTGCTCTCAGGGGTCAATCTCTACACTTTGTAACTTCTCCATGTAATTAGTGTGATCCAGTACTATTCCCTCTTGATCTTGTTTAAGATAGAAACCGATATAATGAAATTGGCATTCGGCAACTTTTCCAGCTGAAAATCTCTCTCTAAACTTGCAAACCTGTCTCTCAAAAATCTCATCCCCAGCATGGAGAAAATCATCAACATGAGAACAAATTATTCCATGTAGCTTTCCATCCTTTCTATAGCAGAAGAGAGCTGGGTCTACACTACACTGCTCAAAGCCAAGTTTATTAAGTTCTTCTTTAACACTTAAGTAAAACTGTCTCGCACCATCTTTCAGTCCATATAGACAGTGTTTCAACTTCCATATCATTCCAGCAGGTGTGATACTTTCCTTTGGCGGTTGAAGATAAACATCTCTGTCAAGTGTTTTTCCTTGCAAAAAGGCTGACTTTATGTCTGTGGTTTTGACGTCCCATAATTTACTTGCTGTTATGGTCAAAAATATCTTAAGGCCGCCCTTTCCAACTGTCGGACTGTCTCTTGGGATATAAAATTCCTCCTCGAACCCACGCGCTACAAGTCTAGCTCTTACTTGTCCTTCTTTTGATGTAACAACCCATCTTGTAGATAGTCTATGTTGTCCTTCATCCAGAACTTCAGTGTATGTGTCGAAGTTTTTTAGTTTCTCTAATTCATTCTGTTTTGCTAGAGATATATTGTCACAGTTTGTATTTTCACATGTTGCAGAATTAACACTCTCATCATTTTGGTTGATTATTTTCCAAGGAAGCCTACCTAGGTCTATGCTTTTTTCTTCTTCACTCTCAGAATATTTTACATTATACCAATCCCTGTTGGTTCCAGAAGCTTTGCCAGCTCTGCTGAGAATTGTTGCTTTTATCCAATTATCATCCTCCAATCCCATCTTGTACTGAATACTGTCATTTGCTTTCAGTGCAGGTTTGGGGGGTTGGTGTGAGTTTTGGTCTATTTTCCTCTCTGACAGGTATTCAGTGACTGCACTATTCTTAAGTCCCACTTCACTTGTTACTCCTTGATGTGTTTTCTCTTCATCGGTACTCATAGTTTCAGTATCTGTTATTTTCTGTAACCTGTTAGGTGACACTCGCACAAAAACTCCATCATGACGAACAAAAACAACTTTACCATCTTGAAAAACAACTCTCCCAGGTCCAAGCCATCTATCTTTACCCTCACGCTTGTAATACACCTGATCACCATTCTCATAGGATTCTTCAGCTGCTCTCACTTTATATAACAATGCCCTTCTGATTCTCTCATCAGCTTCTGCCTCTATGTAAGCTCGTCTAGTGCTGTGCAATAAATTGAGGTGTTTAGCAAATGTCTCACTCGTTGTACGACCCTCAAGTGCTGGAAGTTTGTCCGTCATGATGTTCGGAAGTTGGGGGTTCCATCCAAACACAAGCTGGTGGCTACTAAAGCCGTTCCACATCTGCAATACATTCCTAGCCATGTTTGCCCAGCACAACAAGCTCTCTTCACTTACATCTTTATAGTCTTGTTCCAATTTTGTGAGCATCATGTCGGTTACAGAATGCACTCTTTCACACAAGCCGTTTTGAAATGGACTTTCGCCTGCAGAAGTACACACTTTGACATTCAAAATGGATGCCACTTCTCGAATTTCTTCCGAGTTAAACTCCCCTCCATTGTCTGTCATAATTGCGCCCATGACACCAAATATTCCTATCCAATGAGACATGATTTTATCAATAACATCAGTTGTCTTTTTCCTCTGGATAAAAACTGACACAGTGTATCTGGACCACATGTCAATCATGTGTAATATCCACTTCCCTCTCCAGTACTTTAGGTCCATAGCTACCTTCTCATTAAAATGAGACGCCATTGGAAATGACACAACAGGTCGTGATGGGGTTCTGGCATAAGTCTTGCACACATCACACCTCTGCTCTATTTTTTCAATGTCTTCTTCAAAGCTCTCACACCAAGCACCTGCATCTTTCAAGAGGGATACAAGTCGTTTCTTTGGTGGGTGGGCAAATTGTCGGTGCAGTTTCAGAAGAGTTGAGTATCTCTTTTTTGGATCCACCTCATCAATTCTAACTGAGCAGACTTCCTCAACAGGTATCATTTCTGCTTTGTCTATGGGAATACAATAATGTCCAGAAGAGGTCACATTAAGGTTCATAGTTTTTCCTAGAATCTCTGCTGTGTCATCCTCTAAGTTCAGCTTTACGCCAGCAGTTTTCATAGCTGTTCTTGACAACAGTAATGGAATGTCTGAATTAACAACATCAGTAGTTATCGTCACATCTTTCCCTGCTATACGAGCTGGAATCGCAAATTCTCCTTCGGATTTAAGACGAGTTCCTCCTCCAAAGTTAAAAATTCTTCTGCCCTCTGTTTTCCTAATTTTATTTTTGTCCAATTCATCCAGTGAATCAATGTATGTGTTGATCCATGTACTACCACACACTGTACTGCTGCAGGCACTGTCTAGAACTGCACAGTTCCTAGCATCCATCCCCAAGTGTCCTATTTCCTTTGGTTGGTAACCTGTAAATAGTACAAATTCTTCTTCAGCTGAACATGTATTGACGTTAGCCATATTTTCCCAGCTATGAGGACATGCGGCCACCATATGTCTGAATGACCCACAAGATTTGCATGTCAACACATTCCCATCTGGTCCTGATGGATTCATACTCTTTTTAATTGCTGAGCTGCCTACTCGTGATTGTCCGCGGTACTGACCTCGATGAGAGTCTCTACTCTGACCACTCTGAAATCCTCTTCCTCTCATCTGCTCATTCCTTTCCCCTCCTCGATAAAATTTACTGCTCCTCATTCTAGTGTATCCAGCTGCCATCAGCGCTTCTTCATTTTCAGCAAGGAATGCTGGTTCAAGTTTAATGGATACTGGTTTGGTAGGGGCATTTCCTTCACACATTTCACCTTTGAATTTTTTAAAGGATTTCTTAGCTTTTTCATATAAAGTTTCTTTGTTCTCAAAATTCATTCCTGTCAAGACAATCATCCTTTCTTCTTTGCTTATCAATGACCAACCACGCTCTGCTACCATTGTTAGACATTTGCTTTATTCAGCATCATACACTCAAACTAACTTTACAAGATGAAGAGCTCCCTTAGGGGGAGATAAGTTAAGCATAAACTAGAGTTACTTCTCTTGTCATGTTATACATAAGTAAACTAACAATATATACTAGGGATGTCAAATCGATCAATTTTTGATAATCGGTTACTCGGACGTTTATCCGATCGAGTACACGGGCACTGTAAATACAAGTTTGTTAATTTTTAATTGTTAATTTGTTAAACCCCAAAGCTGTTTTTATCATGTTTTATGAATGTATATAAACATAGAGTACAACGGAAATGATTTTTCGTACTAAATAAATACAAATGACACAATTAATACATCAAAAGTTACAAATGGTTTACAGTCCTTGTTTAGGATCTATTTCATCAGCGCAAAAGGAGGACAATCTAACGCAGGTTTGTGATGATTAGACAAGCAAAAGAGAAGGCAGGGACGTTGTTTGGATTGCTAGTCTAATATTTTTCATATGTTGGTTGTTCCCCCCGTATAACTTAACTTACTATGGAAACTGACTTTAAACATTTTTTTAATCTTTACATATTTTGAAGATAATAGACCATATTAAATGATGTTCATTGAAAAAAAAAACAATCATTGAAGCCATCAAAAAATTAAGGACCACAATAGGTGAGTACAGCTGTGTACTAGGTGATTGGTTACGGTAATTACTGTATATACACAGCCACAGGCGACAAACGGGTGTTTACATGTGTAGATGACGACACGCTAATTATCCGTATGCACATTTAAGTTATTTTTTGGTTAGTTTTTGATAAAAATATGTACTTTGAAATAAGACAAAATACACATCCAAATAACCGAGTACCATCTTTGGTATTCGATATTCGGACGTTTGATTGAGTACCCGGTTAACCGGGTACTCGTTGACATCCTTAATATATACCGATACAAAATATATGATACAATCAGTAAAATTTTTGTTGTCAATCCCCCGTTTTGATAAAAGAGATATTTAGCCACAAATGATGTGCTTTACAAGGAAACCCTTAACTAAATAACAAAATTCCTCTTTTACAGTGGCTGATGATGACTCACCCTTAAAGACATTTATAAGGATAAATGCTGCAGATTTGAAACCAGACCCGAGCAGTGAAGTTTCTGTCTCTGCTGCAAATGAAAAACATGACAATTTGGAACGAGGAAATACTGATAAAAACAATGAAGTAATTTATAGCAGAGAAGAAAAGAAAGAAAGAAATATTGAGTTGTCCAGTTCTCAAACTGAAGGCAAAGAAGAAAAGAAAGAAGATAATATGGAAATGTCTAGTTCACCAACTGAGGGCACAGAAGAAGAGACTACAGTAGAGACAATGGCCAATATTCTCTCCTCAGAAGCACAAGCAATGGTGAAGGATGAAATTTTTCAGAAAATCTTGTCTGAAAAAGGAAAGTTACCAACAGTAAGCATGCTGGATTTTGCTGGACAGTTAGCGTATTATGCCTGCCACCAAATTTACGTAACACCAAAGGCTTTCTTCATCCTTGTGTTGGACATGACTAAGAGGTTTGAAGATGTTGTCAGTAAAGCGAAAGATAATCAAGAAGGATCAATCTTCTCTGTGTGGACTTACAAAGGTACGACATGATGTCATGATATCAAGACTTACATAGGTAAAATATGATGTCAGTATATCAAGACTTACAAAGGTAAGACATGTTGTCGTGATATCAAGACTTGCAAAGGTAAGACATGATGTCATGATATCAAGATGTACAAAGATAAGACATGATGTAGTGATATCAAGACTTACAAAGGTAAAACAGGATGTCATGATATTGACTTACAAAGGTAAGACATGATGTAGTGACATCAAGACTTACAAAGGTAAGACAGGATGTCATGATATTGACTTACAAAGGTAAGACATGATGTAGTGACATCAAGACTTACAAAGGTAAGACATGATGTCATGATATTGACTTACAAAGATAAGACATGATGTTGTGATATCAAATTTATGTCTTTTTGGCTGGCATTAATGAAGGTGAGATTATAATTTTGTAACAGACACTCTGGCCTGCAGGCTAAAGAAGTGCTTAATTGTAGCAGGTAGCTCGTAAAAATGTGAGGGTCATATGTTTACGCCTGAGTGTTTATATTTATACATCATAACACAGTAACTCAATCAGTGTTTAGCTCACCTAAGCATTAGGCTCATGTGAGCTTTCTTATCAAAATTTGTCTGTCATTATCTTAATCATGTTGTAATGAAGGGCTTCACTCTCTTTTAAGGGGAGATAATTAAAATAAGTGAGATCTTAATGAGATCTTTTTAAAATTTCAAAAAGCACTGGACCATAAAAGATTAAACATGTTAAAGCATTTTAGTTAGTGAAATGTTTGTTTGTTTGTATGTTGTTTAACGTCCCTCTCGAGAATTTTTCACTCATATGGAGACGCCACCATATGCCGATGGAGAGCTGCAAATTTTGTCCTATGCTTGGCACTTACGGCCATTGAGCAGTGAGGGATCTTTATCGTGCCAGCACCTACTGCGACACAGGACCTCGGTTTATACGGTCTCATCCGAAGGACCGGTCTCCACGTCCCACAGTGGGATTCGAACCCGCGATGTAAGGATCAACTCCTTACCTCGTGTTAGTGAAATGTAAAACTTGTTCAAATCATAACCAGCAGAGATAGGGTGGGGCCACAATGGGCATAAGGGAATGTTTTAAAAAAAATTTTCAAGTTCAGCAAAAACCTTGATTAGTCATAATTTAGTTATGGTTATAACACGCCGTTTGATTGGATAAAAAAAAAATTATATTGTATAGCCTGTGTTTCCTATGTGAAAATGACCTTATTCAAAATTGCATCACTCCTCTTTCTACAAATTGAAGGCATTTTTGATGGGGAAATTATTTTATTTTTTTTACATTGAATGATAGAAAATTAAATTATTGAGAAATCACTCATTTTCTTGGAGGTTTATTTTTTGTTGTTTTCGAGGTATGAAGAGATCCAAGAATTCATGTCCACCACAAAATGTAAAATGTCATATGCATATCTACTCAACAATTCTTCATCCACAAATTAAAATTAAATCCCCACAAGCCCATATTTTTTCTTCAAACCACGAAAATATGTGATTTTACAGTTTAAGGGATGATTTTAATAAATATTAAAGTAATACTGGTATAACCTGGGTTTGAACACTTAATTTTTTTTATTTTTATTTTTATAAACCGCTTCACGGTTAATAAAGCTTTACTATCTCAACCCAGGTTACACAGTATTAACTTTGGGTAGCTATTAAATTCATTCCTTATTATTTAATTTTCTATCATTAAAGTTGGTACATGTACCTGTACACAAGAATGCTACATTACGATACACTTTTGTGCAGTCCGTTTTTAATGTCAAGGTAAAGTGCTGCTCTAGTTACTGAAGTTAGAAGAATGCGTTCAAAAAGCTGTTTCCGAAAATTTTTGCTTGATTTGAATAAATTTGTTGGAGAATCTTTAAAAACAACTAGACATATAATTATATACCTGTATAATGAAATATATGAAGATAACAAACAGTATTCAAACTCAAAAGTCCATTAAACAATACAAAATAGGAACAGAGCAAACACGGACCTCCAAAACATCAGAGGTGGGATCAGGTGCCATGGAGGAGTGAGCATCCCCTGCCGACCGATCACACCCACCGTGTGCTCCTTGTCATATTCGGGAAATAACGGAAAAATCTGCCGTCAATTCAGTGTGTAAATAATGGTCTAACAATTAGTATGAGAAAAAAAAGTCTGTCAGCATTTGACTCAAAGATAAATTGTATTTGCTGACAAGGTCATTGTATCAACCATAGAACTTATGAAATGATGACTTTAAACGACACTGCTGATATTCTTGTTTCATCAACTTGTTTGTCAATAATTTACCTCGTTTTAGAAATTGTATATACGTAGAGCATGCTCTTGCGTATCGAATCAACTGAGAGATATAAACCCTGTATGCAGGTGATGAAGGTATATTGCTGCATAAGTAAGGGAAGTTGACGATTGAAAAGTTAAAGTCATCACGTTTATCATTAAGCTTGGTTGTTAGATTACCATTCCTTTTTCAAGTAAAATATCCAAATATGAAACAGATAATTTTATACCTGTATAACCAAAAAAAAAAAAAGTTTAACTCACTGTACAACTTTATCTTCCCACTGTTTGTAAGTACAATCAGAAGAGCTACACTCTCGTCAGAGACATCTGCCTGTTTTATTTTATTATGATGCTCTATTTGTTTTTGTAGACTACCTGAAGTTTTGGATTACCTCAATCAAGACATTTGGAGGCAAAAAGGCACCACTGTTTCTTGTTGTCACACACACAGAAAGAAAATCTACAGCTGTAAGTATTTATGCTAGCAGAGGTAATTCAATTTGAATGTAAATTAGGAGAAATTAACAGATCATTAACAAATCGTGAGAGTGTAAAGGTAAATTTACAGTAAAACAAACTTATAGCAAACACATGTTTATAATGAATAGACACTCACAGCAAAGTTATTTTCATTCCCAGTGGCTTTAAAGTATATTTTTAAGTTAATGGATATAAGAAATTATATAATTATGAAACAAAATCACCCATCCCTGGCACTTTGTTACAAGCATGTTTTACTTTATTCTTTTTTTCTGATTTCGATTGTAAAACAAAAATTGAGTACAAATGTTTAAACTGAAATTATACATTTTCAAATCTAAGTATTCAACTTAGCACAGAGTTGTATTTTAAGTTCATTTGAGCCAAAGAATGACCTTTTCTGATCAAAATTTGTCCTTTGTCTTTAAGCATTGTTGTCATCATCATTAACTTTTCACATTTTTATCTTCTCCAGAACTACTTGGCCAATTCCAACCAAACTTACTACAAAGCATTCTTGGGTAAAAGTAGTTAGTTAAAGGTAGTTAAATAAGAGAAGTGAAAACATGCTCTATTCACGCGACCATGCAAAATTCCTGTTTTCAAAACGAGGCTTGGCGTACATAACGCGACTGCAGCAGCATGGCGTCTAGCGCATCTGTTAAAAGAATGCAGAGTTCGGTATCCCACTGTTGTGTTCCCTGGTAATGGGGACAATGGACAAGATTTTTCTTTGTCCTCCCATCTTTTTCTTAAAGACTTAGCTCTACGTAAGCAGTGGATAGTAAAAATAATGAGAGACAAAGGGCCAGACTTCCACATAATTTTTCCCAAGGTCAACGAGTACGAATGCCAGCCAGTGACCTTGTAGTTCACAGGTTAATGAAAATATATTGATAAATTACGTTATGTATAAGGTTTCGTTATGATTTAATTAATGTTATTTTCATAATTTGAAATTAAAGCTATTAAAAAAACCACTCTTGAAGTTAATCCAAGATTCCATTGATATGCTGATGCTTTCATCTGTTTGCAGTTGAATAATTGGAAGACCTAGGACCCTCTAAATAAGACCGCATATACAGTGTACATGAAAATAAACATTTTTTAATTAACCTGGATTAATTGATTAGTGATATCATCCTTAGAAACAAGTTTGTTCAAATAGTGACCCCATGGGGTAAGATGGGGCTACAGTAAGTGATGAAATTTTACATGGGTTTGCATATATTAAAACAATGTTTAAAATCTTTTTCTTTTCAAGAACAGTGGGGCTGTGATATGTGATACAAGAGTACCAAAATGTAGAATATTCCTTAAAAGAACAATCAAACGAACAAAGAAAAAAATATTGTTCAACATAATTTAACTATAGTAACTGCTGATAAAAAACAGAAGGGCCATAGTTACTCTTTAAGCGTTGTGGCCCATGGGCCTTTTGTTTATCAAATTATGGCTCTAGGAGTTCAGGTTGGGTACAATAAGGGATCAATATTTTAAAAGGAATTTTATGAGAATTTTTTTTTTCAAATACAAGAGCCACACATTTTGCAATTATTTAAGGAATCACTGTCTAGTTAGTAGAAAATGCCTGGGCATCAACGAATGATCAAGAAATCAACTCAACTAACTTTCAAAGAGTTATCACAGAGAAAAAAATAGAAATGGAAATATATGGAAATTGTTGTTTGGATTCAATCAATTATAATTTTTCTTGAGAAAAGAGATGGGAGTTTTTAAAATATTGTAATAAACAACAGGAATGTCAGTGAGATTCAGGTTGGTGTTGTGGCCCTTAGGCCTCATGTATTCTTTTTTCATGATTTTATTTACCTTTTCAGGAAATTAAGAAGTATTTTGGGGAGTTTTGGGAAGCAGTTCCAGATGAGGACAGAGATTGGTTAAGAGATTCTCTCAATGATCGTGAATATGCAGTGGGTCTAGATGAACTAAATGACAACTCGAAAAAAATGCTTGAGTCAATGAAAATGTCCATAGTTGAACTGTTTAAAGATGAGATAAATACTAAAATTGAAATGCCTTCTTCATGGGCTTTAATGGAACAGTTATTGTATGAAGGAGCATGGAAGGTTTTGTCCCTTAGTGAAATCTGGAAGCTCAACTTATCCCTTCCCCATGAATACCAAATTAAAAGTGATGAGGAAATGTCTATGTTTTTAAAGTGTTTCCATGACAATGGCCTTCTTTTGTATTTTGAAGAAGAGAAATTGAGGGAAAATGCAGTGCTTGACATTCAGTGGTTTGCTAAAGCTTTCAGCAAGATTATTGCTGATGAAAACCATATCAATAAAGACTGCAAAACAAATTTAATCAAGGAATGGAAATCCTTCAATAAAATGGGAGAACTTAAAGATAAAGTAATAGATGCACTTTGGAAAGATGAACCTTCATACTTGAAACACAAAAGTGAAATTATGTCTTACATGGAGAAGCTTCAAATGCTTGTAGCTTTGGACTCTTTTGAGGCTGTATCAGAAGATGGCATGTCATGGTATGTCCCATGTATGAACAAAAAGCAGTTTAAAGCTGACTTCTTTGAAGATAAATGGGAATGCTCCTCCATTTTGTGCTTTCGATTCACTTCCTTTGCCATGTTTGTGTTCTACAGACTGGTAGCATACTGCATGAGTTTTCTAAGATGGAGTGCTTCAATAGACGAAGACAATGAAGGAAGTCCATGTCTTTATCAAACAGCAGCAGTGTTTGATCACAATGAACACACTGTTGTTGTTGGCATATCTAATGACGATATCCAGTTGCAAGTATTGAGAATCACACCATTGACTATAGACAAGGACGTATCAAATGAAATTGGAGAATCCGTTGAAAAAGCCATAGAAAAACTGACAGAAACATTTATCGGTACAAAAATATTCCACAGAGGATACAAATGTCAAAACGTTATTTGTAATGAAAAAGATCTTTCTTTCACCCTTGCAAGTGAGCTCTCCAATATTAAAACTGATAAAGACATTCAGTGCAAGTGTCGACTGAAGGAGAAACACGTGATAAATGTACAAAGGACTCTGAGTTTCTGGGAAAAGGTAACAATTACTAAATTATATTCCTCAGCAAACAAAACTTAACATTTAGAGGTATGTAAGGATTATCTTGCCCTTCTTTTTGTTGGTTTGTCTGCATTTATGTCTGGGCTAAGACTTGGTGGAAAATCATTGTAAAATCAAACTCGCAGAGAAATTGCATATGACCTGAGGGTATCATCATGACTTGATTTTGACCAAATGCCATTTGGGGAAAAGGTCACTGACTGGTACGAAAAAATCTAACATTCATGTTCAGTCAATTAATGTTTCATGGAGACACTGGAATTTTATAATTTGTACAAAGATTGTTAACTACTTACAGATGTGTATTGATCTTAACCCAAAGTCTTTTGAACAATTTGAAAAAAAAAAAATATTTCAATTACTATCCAAGCTATATCCTCTAATGGAGAAACACAGGAAGATAACAATTGACGCAAATATTGCTTATAACTTAAAGGTGATTCATAATCTTTCAAATGGATAATATATTCCGAGCTTGCTAGGATTGCTCATGACCTAACGTTATGTCATGATCTTGATGATGGCCCAAAGTTCCTTTCTGAACAAACCATTTATAGGGAACATGAGTCACTCAGACCTTTTGTTATCTGCTTTTGTTAAACACAATGCATTGTCTGTTATCTTTGAACATTTTCAGCTTCTTCTCAAGAACAGCTGAACCAATTTTAATAAATTATATATGTAGGTTAACAAAGATTGTGAAGTTCTTGGACTCTGCCTTCGAATTCTGGAGGGTTGAGTTCAGATCCATCAATATTAATGAGTTTTTAAAAAGTAAAGATGAGGATAAGTGATCAATCTATGATAAAACTAAAAACAACACAAATCTATGAACAGGGCATATGACACAGATCCTTGGAAATTCCAGAGGTGGGATCAGGAGGTTAAGGGGAGTAAGCACCCCCTGTTGACTGGTCACACCCGTCGTGAGCACTATGTATTGTATTGATCAAGTGATCCTATTTCCCGTCAAATCAAGTTTCAATATTAAGAGCTAACTATTGGTATGAAATATGTCAAAGATCTGTACTCCTGAACATCTAGTAGTCAATATGTTGGCATGATTATAATATGCAATGAAACCTTTGCCTTAGATATTAAATTCATGACCCTTGAGCTGAGTTACGTTGATCCTTTATTGAAATGCATTAAATTTTATAAAAATCTTCTTTACTGATGTTCATCCTGTAAACTGATTATGTGTATGAGTCTAATGAGTATTAAGTCTTTTAATAAACTGTGAAAAATGTATGGCCCCCTGGCTCATGGTTCCAAGTTCAAGGTTATTGCAAAATATGAATATGGTTTTCTTTGAATATAAAATGTTTGCAAGAGTTTAAGAAGTTCTAATACTTTTACCAAAATTGCAAATTCAACCCCCACCCCCATGATTCACGTTCGAGGGGTTTTGCAAAATCGAGTGCAATATTATTTAAATCATTTAATTATTCTTTTGAAGTGAAATATATGGAGATAACGAACAGTATTCAAGCTCAAAAGTCGATTAAACAATACAAATTTTAGAGCAGAGCAAACTCGTACCTCTATAACATCAGAGGTGGGATCAGGTGCCATGGAGGAGTGAGCATCCCCTGCCGACAGGTCACAACCGCCGAGTGCTCCTTGTCATGACCAGGAAATAAAAAATCCGTTGACAATTCAGTGTGTAAATAATGGTCTAACAATTAGTATGAAAAACGTCAGTCAGCATTTGACTTAATGATAGATTGTATTTCCTGACAAGGTCATTGTATCGACCATAGAACTTAAGAAATGATGAATTTAAGTGAGACTGCTGATATTCTTTTTTCTTCAACTTGTTTGTCAATACCTTACCTCGTTTTAGAAAGTGTTCATATGTAGAGCATGCTCTAGTGTATCGAATTAACTGAGAGATATAAACCCCGTACATTTCTTTACAGTTTCCCTTCATCTGAATTTTCTCTATTAAACGTGTGGCCGATGTCAGTGATAAATGTAAGATAAATAGAAAGAGGCTTAATTTTTGTTATTTGCTAATTAGAAGAGCTGAAGATCAGGCTTAATTTCAAAGTTTTATTCAGAATGCCACACAAGAAGCATACCGGGGGTATGTATTTCTAAAGGTATCACACTCGGTAATTGTTTTCACTATATAATTCTATATAGAATATAAAATCTTTAAAAATCAAGTATTCCAACTCAGGAAAAAATTCTTAATTATTAAACGTTACCAGTCACATCAGCTGACACAAAAAGGGTATGTACATGGCATTTTCTGATTTTTTCCATCCACAAACAGGAATACACTCAAAACCACGTGTTTTCAATGTGTTTGTAAACATCGTATGTGTACCTTAGGAAGAGGCCTTCGTTTGCCATGAAAGAATTAGGTCTTGTCAAAACCAATATTTTACAAAGTACATAAAATATCCTAAGCACAGACACCAAAAATGTAAAAATAGAAGGAGAGGAAAATATGAAATTTCTCACATCATGAAAAAAATAGTTCTTTATTATGTATGGAACTACAATTGACTGCATGAGTTCATTTTAATTGGTCAATAACCGGTGTGATGTCTTCAAACATATCTTGTTTCTGTTTTAATTGTATACCATTGTTAACAGTATTATTCTTTTTCTTCAAGCAGAGAAAAAACTTTTGAATATAGAACGTCAATTTTTAAATTATACAATCCTTAATACAAGTTCTTTTCATCCTACATTTCTTCAATTACTTAAAGGCAGGGCCCTTTAAGGCAGGGCCCTTTAAGATGGTCGGTATCTCAATGATTTCTAGTTTGCTTCAGATTTATTGACCTGTTCTAGAACTATGGCAAACAAGTTTACCAAAACACTGACCAATGTCCCTTATGTGATGACATTGAAGAATAGCTGAATAGTAACACCATTCAATTTTCTATTACATGTACTTCTAAAAACTATCATAAAGTTAATTTCCCTTTTGGTCTAGCATCATTATAAACATATAGAATAATATCTTTACACGCTCCGTGATCGGAAGGTCTTGTGTTCAAATCATGGCTGCGACTAAACTAATTCGATAAAAAAAGGTAACAACTGTTCCTTCGCCAAGCGCCCGGCACTTAGAAGTGAAAGTTGGTCCTTTGGATGAGACCTTAAAAATCGAGGCCCTGTGTCGTGGTAGGCGTTGGCATAATAAAGACCCCTCACTGCTCAATGGCACTGAGTGCTGAGTAAAGGTCTAAATTTGAAGCCCTTCACCAGTATATGGTGATCTCTAATTGAGTGTAAAATTCTTGAACGGAGCGTAAAACAACATACAATCAATCAATCAATGTTTATACATTTTGTTCTTAGTTTCTTTTTTCTGCTAAGTTTGTTTCATCACTGTAACTATGCTTAACTGTATTTCAGAGAAAGTTGAGTGATTCCAGTACTCCAATGGCCTCTGGACAAGACCTGGGGGGTCGGTCTAGATTTGCAAAACTTGGAATGGCAATGAATGATGTGTTAAATCAGGCATACAGAGATATACTAGAGATGGAGGTCCTCCCTTCTGATATTGAGAGCAAAGCTAAATCATCTCCAGTTTATAAAAGATTGCGCCCAGAGCAAGAGCATCTCTTGCTAGATGCTAAACATTTAGGATATAAGAACTTTGACATTTCATTAACATACACATTGATCAGAAATATTAGTTCAAAGATTCCTAAACCAACAAAAGGAAAGTGGGGAGAAGAGCCAGCAGCAGGAGAGGTGACAGTGGGTGATGATATCGAGAGAATTAGGTTAATACGAAACAGTTTGACTGCTCATGTGAGCTCAGCCTCCATCCCTCAGACAGAGTTCGATGACACCTGGTTGACGATGTCAAATATCTGCCAAAGACTAGAAACCTTCACTGGAAAGAAATACTTTGATACCCTTAAGGATATTAAAACACTAACCTTGAGAAAGGAAGATGAGGATGCTATTATAAAGAATAAAATGCAAGAATTTTTTAAGACAATGAAATCAAATATGCTTGAAATTGAAGCAATGCTCAATCTTAACTAAAATCTACAAACTAAGAGTTATGGATGTGGATCTGGTTAGATTGCTCAAGAATTGTAATTGTGGCCTGAAATAGAATTCACAATCAAATTTGAATGAATGCATTCAAGGAATTTGATATTTGGAACTGAGATTTCTCAAAAACTTAATTCAAGGTGTAGAACACGGGGTAGTTTCAATTGATAAGAAATTCACAATTGTTGGTTTACTGATTTCAATGAATTCAAACTTTAAAGTGTTGTTGGTTACAAAATACAAATGTCACCTTACCTTTAATGAGGATCATTTTTAAAATAATGAGTATAAGAAGGTCAAATTTCGAAATAATTTTGCTTAGAAGTTTTGACGGCATCATTAAACAAGAGGCCCAAGGGCCTTAACGATCACCTGAGTATAAAACAACAATCCATAGAGGATTTATAGAGCATAAATTGAAAGCTGCAAAAACAAACCCAGGTTATATAATATGTATTAATTTTTCATCCAATCAAATGATGCATTACAACCAAAGTTAACTTATATTAAAATGACTTATCATGGTTTTGTTGTTTTTGAGAAGATTTTTAAATGATCTTTCCTATATATTCCTAACTAAAACTTTGATCACCTGTTGTGCCGCCTCCCTACCCCAGGGGGTCAAGATTTGAAAAAAATATGAATTAACATTACCCAAAGATGCTTCCATATAAATAAGACAAATCATGGCTTTGCTATTCTTGAGAAGAAGATTGTTAAAGATTTTTCATATGTATTCATGTGTAAATCTTTGATCGTCCGTTGTGGCCCCACTCTATCCCCAGAGTCATGATTTGAACAAACTTGAATCTATACTATATCTGAGGATGCTTCCATGTAAATATAACCACTCATGGCTTTGCTGTTTTTGAGAAAAGAATTTTTTTAAAGATTTTTCCTGTGTATTCCAATGTAAAATTTTCATTGTCCATTGTGGCCCAACCCTACCCCCGGGGATCACGATTTAAACAAAATTGAATCTACACTACCTGAAGATGTTTCCACATAAGTTTCATCTTTCCTGGCCCAGTGGTTCTGGAGGAGAAGTTTTTCCCAATGTATTCCCATGTAAAATTTTGATCATAATGATTCATTATGGCCCCGCCCTTCCCCAGGGGGTCATGATTTGAACAAATTTGAATCTATACTACCTGAGGATGTTTGCACACAAGTTTCATCTTTCTTGGCCCAGTGGTTCTGGAGAAGAAGATTTTTAAAGATTTTTCCTATTTATTCCTTATAAAACTTTGATCGTCCATTGTGGCCCCACCCTAACCCCAGGGGTCATGCTTTGAACAAAATTGAATCTACACTACCTGAGGATTTTTGCACCTAAGTATCATCTTTCTTGGCCCAGTGGTCCTGGAGAAGAAGATTTTTAAAGGTTTTTCCTATGTATTCCTATGTAAACTTTTGATCGTCCATTGTGGCCCCACCCTACCCCCAGGGGTCATGATTTGAACAAACTTGAATCTACACTATCTGAGGATTTTTCCGTATAAGTTTCATCTTTCTTGGCCCAGTGGTTCTTGAGAAGAAGATTTTTAAAAGATGCCATTAATTTTTCGCTAATTCTTAATTATCTCCCCTTGGAATAAGGCTTGGCCCTTCATTTGAACAAACTTGAATCACTATTACCCAAGGATACTTTGTGGCAAGTTTGGTTGAAATTGGCCCAGTGGTTCTTGAGAAGAAGTCGAAAATGTGAAAAAGTTTACGCACGACGCACACCCGCACGACGACGGACGAAAACAGATAGCAATAGGTCACCTGAGTGACTCAGGTGTCCTAATAAATTCAAACTTTATTAGTCATTGTCCGTTTAAAAAAAATGTCTGAAGAAATTTCAAGAAAGTTTTAGAATCTAGTATCTTTGTATGAGGGTGACAAGAAAAGTGAATTTCCTTGGTCGTTGGATGGATCCAAACCTCTTATTGCCCCGTACATTGATAGTGTCGAAAATCATTTTGTTTCTGTACAAAAATTCTTTTGTGTATTTATATATTCTCAAAACATCTTTTTAAAAGCATCGATGATATTTAATGCCTTTGCAATGATCTTGTAAAATCTATGAAGATAATAATAATAATATAATAATACTTTATTTAAAGAAGGTAACCTGATTAGTGCAAGCACTATTCTTCCCCAGGGCCTTCTGTCAATAAACATTATAAAGTTAACATAGTTATACACATACAAACATATAATAAATATATACATAAATATACAAAGACAAATATGAATCACAAATTATTCTGACATTGTTTTACATAATGTTTTACTTGTTTCTTGAAAGCATTAAGAGTTGGTGACATTTTTATATGTATAGGTAAATCATTCCATAACATGGCACCAGAGTACTGGAAGGAATTTTCAAAAAGTTTACATTTATGAATTGGCACACACAAGTCAACATTAGATTCAGATCGGAGATTGTATTGGTTATTACTTTGAAATTGGAACATGTCATTTAAATAAGTAGGGCAAGAATTAAAGAGGGATTTATATAGTAATACATATTTATTTACAGTAAGTTGTTCATAGACAGTTAGCCAATCAAGTTCATCAAAAAGAGGTCGTGAGGGTGCATCAGGGGGAGCATCTAAAATATACCTTGCAGCACGTTTTTGAAGCTTATGAACTCTGTCAAGATTTGATCGGGATGTATTGCCCCAAATTGTAAGGCAGTAATCAATAGTAGGCATGATATATGCATTATAAAACAGCTTGCGTGTTTGAGTGGGAAGATACTTTTTAATTCTTCGGAGGGTAGAAATTTTATGTGACAGGGACTTACACACATGGTCGATATGTACATTGTACTGTAGAGAGTTATCTAAATATACTCCAAGAATCTTCTCATGTGTTACGTTGTCTAGCTTCTGATTTGATATGTATAAAGAAAAATCATGCTCTGAGAATTTTGATCTCTTCTGATGTGTGCCTATTAACATGCATTTAGTTTTTGAAGCATTAAGTACCATTTGATTCTGAGAGCACCATCTTTCTATACAAGCGATGTCCATTGATAATGCATTTACAATAGATTGGGAATCTTTGCCGGGGACATGTAGAGTGGCATCATCTGCAAACAAATCTATGTTTGAATTTTTAATATTAAGTGGAAGATCGTTAATGTAAAGTAAAAACAGAAGAGGCCCTAGTATAGATCCCTGTGGAACTCCCGCTGTGACTTGCTGATAAGATGATTGTTTGTTAGACAGATGGACACTTTGAAGTCTGTCACTTAAATATGATCGAAACCACTGTAAAGTTAATTCATTAAAATTATAACACTGTAGCTTTTTAAGAAGAATTTCATGATTTACTAGGTCAAATGCCTTACTGAAGTCAAGAAAGACAGTACCAACAAGTTTGCCTTGATCCATTTCATATAACCATTCATCTGTAATTTTTGTTAGGGCTGTTTGACATGAGTGCAGTTCTCTGAAACCTGATTGAGATTCTATTAGAAGATCAAAGTCTGAAAATAGAGATCGGATATATTTTGCCACATGTTTTTCTATAATTTTTGATAATGTCGGTAAAATAGAAATGGGTCTGTAGTTATTTGGATCCAGTTTGTTTCCCTTCTTAAAAACTGGTGTAACTTTGGCAAGTTTAAAACTCTTAGGAAAAATACCAGTTGTAATACTAGTATTTATTATGTGGGTCACAGGTTTATGTATTATTTGTGCAGTAAGTTTTAATAGACGTGGACCAATGGTATCTACACCTGATGATTTACTAACGTCTAGCTTATTAAGTAAGTAAAGCACTTCATCGGGACTTATAAGTGGGATATCAACTATTTCTGTACCCATTTTAGATTGTACAAAATTCAAAAGGCCGTTAATGTCACACTCCTCTTTATTTACACCTTCAAGAAGTTTAGTAGAGATATTTGAAAAATGAGAATTAAACATCTCCACAATTTCTTGTGTATCCTCTGTAACATTATCATTTTGTGCCAGTGCGGTCGGAATATAATTTTGTGGAGTAGAAGCTAATTTATTTAATGCGTCCCACATCTGGCGTGGATTTTTGTTTTGCTCTATAGTTGATTTATAATAATTTATTTTTGCATTTTCGATAAGTGATGTTACCTTATTTCGCCATATTCTATAGTTTTCAAAGTCTTTATTTTTATGGAAGTTATTGCGCATGTGCTGTGCTTCGAGAATTTCTTGGGTTAACCATTTTGGTCTTGCATCATACTTCACTCTTTTTGTTTTTATTTTTGCATGTTTGTCTAGTACAGTATTAAAAAGCGAATAAAATTTTTTTAATGTATCATTTGGATTAGAGAGTGAATCTAAAGATTGGAAATTAACCTTTTCCAAGTCTGAGAGAAAGTTTATTTCATTAAACTTTTTGAAGTCTCTATATGTTATCTCTGTGTGTTTATACTTCCTCACATAATCATGTAATTTTCTCGTGAAACAAATAGGATAGTGGTCAGAGACTGCAATTGGCGGTACTACAGATTCACATATGTTCTCGGGTAGGTTAGTATATACATGATCAATTAGGGTTGAGGAGGCATTTGTTATCCTAGTGGGTACATTAATTATCTGTGAGAAGTCATATTCTTCAAAAGCTGAGGTCCAGTACCTTGGGGGGTCTTTCATCAGGTCAATATTAAAATCACCTGTTAAAATGATTTCAGCATCGTCACAGCGGGATGCACAATTTATCTCCCGTGTAAGACTTTCTACCCAACAGGTGGTAGCAGATGGGGGCCTATATGCGGTACAATAAAAAATTGGTTTTGAATTTGGGATGTTAATTTCAAGCCATAGTGTTTCTATGTCTCCCTTTTCAAAATCATTGCGACGTTTGTAATGCAAATTATTGGAGATATATACAATTAGTCCTCCCCCTGATTTCCCTAATCTATCCCTTCTCTCAAAATTAAATCCATCGATATCTAATTCACAGTTGTCCGTTTGTTCATTTAAAAATGTTTCACAGATACCAAATACATCAATAGAATGATAGCCTGATAAAAGAAGCTTAAGCTGGTCAATTTTAGGCAAAATGTGACATATATTTAGATTTCCAAATCTAAGACCTTTTTTGATGAGTCCAAAATTAAATGAGTGTGAATTTGAATTTTTCTTGTTTGATTTCTCGTTGATTTCAGGATTTAATAAGTTAGAATTTCTTGTTGATGAACTTGTAGTCAAGGATGTACATGTATAAGTTTTCCTAGGAGATACATTTTTATAAGAACAATTTACATCACTGTCATTGTTAAAACGTGAATAGGACATAAAATCATTATCTAGACTCGATCTTGGTGATATATGAGTAGTATTCTGTAAAT